TGAAAAACTCCCAGCACTCATTAGCTCCTTTGTCCTCTATGGAAGCTTCCCATGGGATCCCTTCCAACTGAGCCCTGGGCAAGCTGAAGTTTACTCTTCTCATGTCTACATCTACAACCTTTATCTTGGAACTAACCTTCAGCGTGCTCAGCTTTATCCCAAACTCTGCAACGTTGTGATCCCTGCAGCCAAGGCTGTCACTAACTGAAATACTACAGAGCATGCTTTCTTGGTTAGTGAGCAGCAAGTCCAACAGCGCCTCATTCCTGGTTGACACATCTAACATTTGTATGAGGAAGGAGTCCTCTAAGCATTCCAGGCACTTGATGAATTACGGGTGAACTGCTGTTTTTCTTCCAGCAGCTGAGTAGTTAAAGTCTCCCATAAGAACCAGGTTTTGTTGACCCAAAGCGTGCTTGATTGACCCAAGTATCACTTCATTGGTCTCATTGTCTTGGTTTGGGGGTCGGTAACAGATGCTACTGTAAGGTCTCCCTTGGAGATGACACCTCTGATTTTGACCCAGAGGCATTCGATAGGGCTTCCACAATTACCATAGTTGAGTTCTATACATTCAGGGTTCTCCTTAATACGGAGTGCGACTCCTCCTCCTATTCTACCCTGCCTGTCTTTACGATATAGCCTATAGTCATCAATCATAATCCCCCAGTCGTGTGAGTTGACCCACCCCATGTTTCGCTTATTCCTATGATACCATAACTTTCTGACTAGGCACGGAGCTTCAGTTCCTCCTGTTTGTTTCCCAGACTGCCTGTGTTAGTATACATACACTTTAGGTGGCTGATCTTTTGATTTTTGTTTAGGAAGACAGCTGAGGCACATTTTACACTATAATGAACTGTGTAGTTATGAACTACTGGATATGAACTATGGAATTATCTCACATTTTTCCTTCTGCTCATCAGTGTAGCATTTAAATGCCAGAGTAATTTTTGCCTAAAAAAAATCAACAATGGATTATAAAAGAGGACATTTTTTCATGACATTGTATATAAATCCACTTCCAATTTTCTGTTGTTTCTAGCAGCATTTCTTTATGCTCCCTTTTTCTATATTCCATGATAAAGAGTAAAACAGATTCATGCTGAGGCTGGAGGTTTTGAAACCTTCCAAGAACAACCAACTCCATCAATTATAATCAGCCATTTCTCTGCAGTCCCCTTTGTGTCTACCACAGAATGCTGGTTAAGGTCTTGAAGATTTGCATGTGAAAGCTGAGGGAAACATCCCAGCTCAAGCAAAGAGGTATGAAATACAGGCTGTAGGGAAGTCAAAGGGAGAAAAACACAGGAGATGCACTGGTGTGTGGTTGGTGAGTCTTCGCTGTTGGTCCTGAAGTTGCATAGATATTGGGACTGTCAGTGTTGGAAAAGGCAATCGGTACCTAGTTGTCATGTAGGAAGTGTATTCTTACCCCGTCAATGATAAACAGTGGACTAAGTTGCAAATTGTTCATGTTTCTCCATAGCCATGCAACAGTGAGAGTCCTATCCTGGTGCCTTTGTGCAGCCCATTGTTGTAAAAAGCAGATCTAGATATATTGTCAATTTAGCTGATGTTTCAAGGACAGAGCACCTAGGTGGCTTTCTCACTTCTGTGGGCTCATAACCCTTTCTTCTCCTGCAATACAGATAATTTACTCCTGTTTGGAGGAACAGGTATAATTGATTGCAAGTGCTCACACACCTTTCTACTGCATTGTTGGATAAAAATTGTAAAATGCATAGAGACACCTCAGAAATATGAGCTGTTACTGGTAGTTGTCATACTACTCTTTGCAGCATTCCATGAAATCCTGGGCGTAAGCCCACAGTTTCATAGTTTTATTTTCAATCTGAGCAATGCAAATTTCAAATACAAGTAGTTTATACAAGTGGTGTTTTCTGACAGATGTGACAACTTTTGGTTTATGGGACCCTAATGCAAGCTCAGCTTGTATTCTAAGTGTAATTGTGTTGTCTGGGAAATTTTTATATTAAACGTGCTGTGATCTATCCAATTACATCTCCTCTCACAAGAGATAGACTAATCCAGACATTGATCCTGGAGTAGAATGGCTCATATTTGTTGATAGGATGGCAATGTCATCTGCATTTTTTTCACTAATACACATAACAAAGCATACTATGATACCATCAAGCTACAACCTTTGCAGAAGGGAATAAGCAGATATGAGGAAAAATGAAAGTGAATGTAGCCATCTTTATAGTCCCTTCCACCCCTTCTCCTATAACAGAGAGTGTGAGTTTTGCAGAGCACTATCTATGTGTGGGAAGACATTGGGTCCACACTGGGACATGTGTGAAGGGCAGAGATGGACTTCTTTGTTGGACTGTTTGGACTGAAGGTCTTTGTACATGTGACATCATTGCTGGGACCTAATAATTTTGGTATGGTTTGGGCAAAATGTACATGTACAATGAGATACTATGATGATTACACATCTATCTAGTTAGGTGGCTAGAAGGTAGTGATGGTTAAAATCTCTCTTCGGTGCCAACTGCTTGATTGGAAATGAAAGGCTGCCCACAACGGGATTTTTGGGGAAGCCTCTAGGACAAATGGGGACCATAAATTTTAATCTCTGTTTTGTTTTCCTGGTACTCGTTACACAGGGCAGTTTTTATGTCCCATCTGAAAACTGCATGCACCACGCATACAAATGGCATAAAGACCTCTGTCTTCTGCTCCTGAATGCTCAAAGAGGACTTCACATGTACTACACCCTCATAATGAAGGAGATTCCTGATTTACCACAGCTGAAATTGGGTAAGTGAATAAACATTTTAAATCACTGAATTATTTTTAAGTGCTGCATTTTCAATACACATTTTAGTACCAAAATTCTTGGGCTGTTCAGAGATTTTTGAGGATTTTGGTCCCTGTTTTCTGATTATTTATTTTGGCACACCGTTAAAGGTGACTGCCTTCTCAGCTTATGCATATCCTTTTATAGGATTTGCCTGATGTCTACAAGAGTAAAATGTTTTGATAAATTTCTCAAAATACTGGTGTTTCAGTGATTTTTGGCCTCAATTGATTTTTGAAGTCTTGAACTTTCAGTTCTGAGTTGCCATGAAATCTGGGGAAGACTCTAGCATATTTTTTTCTCTTAAGCAAACATTTCTTTAAAACTGAAAATAAAAATCTGAAAGGTGATATGAGTGTTTTTTGAAACATACTCCCTCATTTAGAATTTGTAATGTATTTCTTCTCTGCCAATTACATAATTACAACTTGCTTTTTAAAATTATTCTGCTTTTCTTCCTAATTCAATTGTTTAATAGATTTTCTGGTTTTGGCAGCAGCTTTTTTTTTGGCTGGTCAGGACTGTTAGGGCCAGTCTACAAGTGCTGGCTGGCTGTTTTTGTGGGATGGAGCTCTGTAATTTGTGTTTAGTCATGTTTGTAATCGCAGCATGAGCTCCTGTGAAAACGAGGCACATCCCTGACTAATTCCTGCTCTCCCACCTGTTTCTTTGAATTCAGGGAATGTGGCTTATGATTTCACATCTGTGTTTTAGTGTCTTTGTGTTTCTGTATGCAGATTTTGAAGTTATTGATTTGTTATATTGCAGAGCTAGTTGTGTTAGGAGAGTTGATTGCATTGGCTAGCAGATTTAAAAAGGGAACAAAAAACATTTTTCCTGTTTCACTATAGAGTGCTTGTGTACAAGAACTATCAAACATAATATATAATGCTTTACAGACTTATGGGCTTGATAGCTCCTATTTTCCACTTCACGTCTTGTTCCCCAACATATATTTCCCTTCAAGACAGCCTAAAACTCATAGGGTGGGAAGACCACATACTGTGTTATTCAATCCAGTTACAAGAAGAAGAAAAAATACAGCATTTTTATTTGCAAGATAGGAGCTCTCAGATAGAACCAAACGTGCAACAAAACTCGTGCTTCAGGCATCTTGGTTATCAGGCACATATAATAGATGATTTGTGTCTCACCTGGACAGGCTTATAGATTGGGAGATGGCAAAGTTATGTATGGTTGGCTGACCACAACTCGAGAACTACCCTAGAGCACATACTGGCTTTCTAAATACAATTAGCTTGGTGTTCAAATGACTGCTGGTACTGAAGCAGGCACTTAATTTGCAAATGTACTTGTTGTAACGCATGCAGATTTGCTAAATGCAAATACCCTTTTTAGCCTCTTGAGCGGTGCACTGTTTGCATCATTTTATTCACAGTCTGAAAATCTACTGAAGATTAGTTTTAATGCTAATCTTCTGATGGCTGTTGCAAAACTCAGCAAAGTCATGGGGTGTAAGGTTCGCCCAGTATGATGAATATGAAACAAATTTTTATATCTGTCTCCTTACAATCACTGGGGAGAAAAAGGCCCATTTAGGACAATAAAATATGTTATCTTGACAAGTAATGCTTTCTACCTTGGGATGGGATGAGCTGCACCTGGTGCTTGCTCATTTTTCTGCACTGACCAGGAGGAGAGTGTAAATGACGGATTCAGCTGTAAACATCTGTATTGGTCAGATTAATCTCATCATGGGTTTCTAAAGATAGTTAAAATAAATCCAAGACTATAAATCTCTGCAGACTTTCTTAAATCTTTTTTCTAGCTCCCTGAGTAGTATATTTTTTTTAAAAAAATAGCCTAGTTTAGACATTAAAAGTGGGAATGATTGTTTCCCAAATTTTAACAGCTGAGAATGGGTCTTTTCAAGATGCTACACATTTCAGTCTGTCCTTTCCCATTGTTTAGTACAATTTAAGAAGAGTCATTTGGGGATTGGGCTGTTGGTTGTTCTGCTTTGTTTCTTTATGGATACTATTAGAAAGTTCTGCATTGCAAAATCAAGCTGCCAAAGTTGGAGAGTTGATTTATGTCCTCCCTTCCCTTATAATCTGCGGTGCATTTAAAGCAGAGTGCTCCTATGCTGGATTCTGTCAGGACTACATCAAAGCACTGCTGCTTTCTGTAGGAGTGGAGAGGTACTTCACAATCCACAAAGCAGTACAGAGATGCCCAGTCTTTTACTAGTCAGACATCTGGTAATGCTCGCACAGTCCTGCGTAGCACAATAGGGGAACAATTTCTTGTGTATTATTTGCTCAGACTTTGCAATGGTGAGACTTTGCATTCAGTTCTGGAGTTGGCCATAAATGCCAAAGGCTAATAAGCAAAATTCTGGTAAAAGAGAGGGTAGAAAATGAAAACAAAACTTCTTTTGTCTTTGTCATGACAACGAGATTCCAGAACTTTTACGGGCTTAGTGGTCCAGGTTACACGAGGAGAAGTTGTACCTGCACCTGCACCAGTACAAGGTGGGTTGTGGAGTGCTCACATCCAAACAGAAACTTGTCTATTGGGGAAGAATGTCAAATGACCTATTTTTCACATTAATAAAGAGCAGAGAGTTAACATTTCACATCTAATGTTCTCAAACCTGATCTCTTTCTTTGTGTTTTTTTCCTAGAGGAGCTATCTGTGGAAGAGACGTTATCTCAGCTTTGTACGGAGCTGCAGGTATTTTGTGGTGGTTCAACAGAATCTGCACATACTTTTTTCAAGTCCATTTTTCAAGTGCACTGAGACAGCCCAGTCACGTATCAGAGCAGGGAGAAAGGGAATTTGGTGCCATCAGAAAGTTTGTTGGATGTTTCTCTTCCACCTACAATTTCACATAATTTTGATTAGTCACTTGGAAGATGTTTCTGCCACTTTTAACATATCACCAGCTCAATTGCTTTAACATCCTCTGGTGAGCCTTGCCCTGAGTATCAGAGTATGCAGGAAAAAATTATTTGGGGTAGGTTGCAATTACAGCTTTTAGGCTGACAGGAGAAAAGATACCTTGGCAGGTTGTACAACCGTATCTTTTCAAATAAAAATCCCTAAATGTATAGGGGGGCTCGTGGGAGGAAAAAAGTATTTTGGCACAGAAGTGACTGAACTACTCTTTTGAACTTGCTTCTGCCATGTTTATTTCAATAAAGTGAGACACAGACAAGTCATCAAGCGCCAGGAAGAAATGCAAGAGTCAGCTGATCACTGGGGAAAATGTTTTATAATCAGAGATGTAATAGGTTTGATTTGTTCAGTTTATTAGCAGGAGGGGCAGCATAGGGAAGAATGACAAAGTAACAGAGGGAAGTGGAAGCCAAACCAAACTGGAAGTACATTCACACTCCAGTTACGAATGGTGGGCTAATGTTTGTCAGCCATGGGCAAAAATATTTGAAATTTCTTAATTTTTAAGTCATGACTTGGATACTTTGCAAGAAAACTGATTTCATAGACATTTGATTTAGAGAAACATAAGTTATTTGGCTCAGCTCTACTAAATTTAGAAGCTGTAAGGGTATAGGAGGTCAGACAACACAGTCTAGAGTTTCCTTTGGACTTATTTTCTGTGAGTCTGGGAGAGTCCAAATGGGCTTGGCATACATCAGAAAATGGCAGCATTAATTTCTCTGTATTTTCTAATTCCTGTCCAATTCTTGTTCTCCCAAAAAGCTTGTTTTGCTTGGCAACGTTAAGAAAGTCAGACTGCTTTGATTGTTGTTTGAAAGCTTCTGGGAACAGTGAAGCAACACATAGGTGAACATAACAGCTAGAACAGCTGGTTCTCTGGAGTGTTATAAAAGCTTTGGTTTTCCTGTACACCATGAAAACGTTTTGCCTTAGCATCCTGGGATGATAGCTTTCTATCCATCTGTCCATGATTTGGTGATAAAGACAGTGAATTTGCAGAGACTCTCAAGACATGAATGTTGAGATCTTGTATAGTATCGGTGGGACACATGCGCAGCATTGACCATCACTGCAGTGTAAGTGCTGATGTCGTATGTACCTCTGTATGGTGTACAGATTAAGATTGGCAATGCTCTCCCAGTATTTTGCCTCTAGGAGCATGTGAACTGAAACCATTTCTTTTCAGCAGAACATACAAAAACTAGTAATTTGTTTTGTGTGACAGTATTGTTAAAGCCAGAGTACTCTGAGTGGGCTTGAAAGGTGCTGTCACAGGGAACAGCCCAGCAGCAGGTATGTGAATGGAGTAACCAGAATCACATTTGGTGATCATTTTAATTGCTGGGTTTTGCTCTAAGGAACTGAGTCCCTGGGATTTGACCTGCGTCACTAGTGTTGCTAAGCTCTTAGCCTGTGTATGGCAGTCCAGTAGGACTCTCAGAATTAGAAGTAGGCATTGTCCCTCCCTCCCTCCCTCCCATTCTTACTCCCTTCCTTCCTCCTTTCCTCTCTAATATGTTCAAAAGGTTAATAACCTATAAAAATAGCCATCATACACCTGTTCCTAGTACCACTTGCATTAATAATGCATCGTCTTTGAAGACTGTGCTTTCAATTTAGGATGTGAGAGGCAGCTTACTGACTAAATAATAATAAAAAACTAATAAATTGACATAGAGCATATAAAATTGAGTACAGTAAATAAAGTAGTGCCCTGACTCTGCAAGATGAAATGTTTGGGCAGGATCTTTTGTCTACCACTATCCCCCTGTTTTTTCCAGTACCAGAATACTGGAACTTGTTCTGTTTTGGACAAGTCGTTAAAACCGATTAACACCCAAACAATGTAAACTCAGTGACAGTATCTATGTTACCCACACACGCATTTTCTCTGTTTGTCTCACACAGACAATTTGCTTTTAATCATGGCTTAGTTTGCAGTGTCACCAATCTGGAAACTACCTGCATAATAAAATGTGAAAAATAAGCAGGCTTCCAGCTACACTGCAGTCCTAATGAAAAAAAAAAGACCTAGCTAAGAACTGATACGTGATTCCTCTGGTATTATTTCTGGCGTATTGCTGGTAGTATTACCAGTTTCATGGAAGCAGGTAGGGACCCTAGGAATAGACAGAAGCTCAGTTTTGCACTCTTTGTGCCACAACATGGAAGTAAAATGCAATGTTTGTCTCATGTTAAAGAAATTGTGAAACCAGGGAGATTGATACGCAGAGACTTTGCTGCTGAAATGCACTTCCTGGGCTGCAGAGCTTTAGCGCAGAATTGCAGCCTAGAGCTAGAGGGCATGGAGGGCCCCAGCATGTCCTAGTGTGGGAGAGAAGCATCAGTAGAATCTGGGATGTCTGTTTTCATCATTTATTGAGGACACAATGTTTTGGTTTTGGGTTTGTTGCTTGTTCCTGTCCCCCCCCAATCACCCATCTGGTATCCTAATGTGACTTGGCTGAGAAGGCTTCTTTTGCTATTAGAAACGAGATGACGGGCCATTTCAGAGCATCCAGCACCATCTGGTGGATAATTTGGAACCCGCTTTCTTTGATTTTTTTTTTCCCCAATTACTACATCTGCAGTAAAGCGTCTGCAAAAATTGAGGCTGTTCCCTCCAATTCTTTCTCTCCCGTTGTGTAGCTGAGACCCTCTGTGCTAAAATATGTGTTTTTTTAAAGAGTAAAAGCTTAAGTCTCACCAGCTTTACTTGCGGTGAAATAACTGAAAATAGTAGCTTTAATAATGATTCTAAATCAAGAGGAATTTTGTTGTTGTTGTTCCTGAAAGGACTTAATCTGACATATGAACTGATTTTCCTTCGTGACACTTTCTTGATCTCAAAATGTCCTTTCTCTCCTTCAGCTGCTGAGCAATCCAGAGAAGATAGCAGAACGGATAAGCAAGGACCTTGCCTGGCTTTGCTCCCACATTCTGGCCCTGTGGACCCAGTTCCTCGAGGTGACAACACTCCATCCAGAAGTCACAGCTTATCTGACTCAGGAACATCACATGCTTAGGGTAATGTTAAAAAGTTAAAAGCAAGTTCAGTAATGGTAACCTCCTGATAGACATCAAAGATTTATCTGGATATATATTTCCAATATTATTCTGCCCATATAAATATTTACTTGAAATGGGGTGAGCAGGACAAGAGGTGAAGCCCAGGATTTGAAATTACAGATTTCAATTTCTGGGATGAAGGCTGTTGCTTTTATGGTTTTTTTACTTACTCTCAGGATCCTGTGTAAAATGAATGCACTTTGAACACCAGAATCAGACATGGAACAGTTGGTAGGTGGGAAGAGGTAGATATCGCCTGTACTTGCCAGATAGCCATAAATCATAAACATTTGTTTTAAGAAGCACACACATCACAATGACAAACAACCAAAAAGATGATTCTTATCTCAACTTCTTTCAAAACTGCCATGAGGAATGTAGATTCGTTCAATTCACTATGTCACACATATATATAGCCACTTCTTGCCTTTCTCCTAGTGAGGTCCACGCAACAAAATCATATTGTTCATGTTGAAATTGCTTCTTGTACTTTGTAATAAAGAAGGCACAAAAGCACTTGTCTTTTGAGCTAACTTTAACAGATATACTTATCTGATTAGTTCAGCGAGTGCTGTGTCTTCCATTAGGATGTTTTTGGTTATTGACCAGATATCAGTTCAGCACATCACCAGAGCTGAACTCATAATCTCATAAAGAAAAGGGTATTATTCACCTTGCTTAGCTTTAGGACTGTACAGTGTAGGTATTAACATCTCAGTTTATGTTCCTGGTTCCTGTCAAAGTCAGTGGAGGTCTGGTTGCTCTCCAGTGACCAGAACAACTGTATGGTTGTTTTCTCTAAAAGCAATGTTGAGCTTGCAAATAGGAGGCATAAATTTAAGGAAGAGGTGACTGATGCTGAAACTCCCCTGGTTAGTTTGACTAGGTCTTCCTTGACTCTGAGAGGACCTGTGTGCCTTTCAGCCCAAGGACCCTACTCTGTATTCTCCCAGCTCCAGCAAGGTGAATCCCAGCCTGTGGTTTGTTCCAATATTGACTGATGCTGCCTGCCTGCTTGATCTTTAGCAAATTACATGGCCTCTGTGTGCTTCGGTTCTTCTGCTTATAAACTATGTGTAAGGATATTTTCCTAGGTCTGGAAGACAGTTTTAAGAGCCCCAAATGAAGTCATACTATTTTCAGTCTTTTTAAAGTCATGCTAGTCCTTTTGTTAGAAAGGCTGTTTGTTAAAGCACAGCTGGGATTAGGGAGATGCCAAGATGCTATGACATATGCTTTTCACTGCCATTTTTTGATACTGTAACAGAGGTCACTCTTACAAATATTAATAGTAATGTATGGGCTGAAGTTTAACAGCTTAGTACATTTGATTGCATATTATGTTTGATTCATTTAAACTCAAAGCTTATTCCAGGGCAGATAGCAGCACTGAATTTTTTATAGCTTATTTCACACTCTATGCTCTGCCAGCCACTTGAGATCTGTGGCTCTTTTGTAATTGATTATCCAACACTGAACAGATCTAAAGTCCACAAAGAGATTTGGAGAGCTTTCATTTGTAAGTATCATGACATAGGCAGATGTGTTTCTACCATGATAGGGCTTACTCTCCGATGGGTTGTTATAAGACTTCTTGTACTCTCCTGGGAGTCACTGCGGATGTTTATGGAATTTGGCCCTGACAGTCACTGCTCTGTTATTAGCCTGGTTGTATTTGGCACCTTTCAGCAGATCTTAGGTTTAACTTGCAGGTCTCTCCCTCAGGTGAGGAGATTCTCAGAAGCCTTCTTCTACACCGAGCACCAGAAACTCGCTGTGCTAACTTTCCAGGAAGGCCTGTAAGTAACTCATTAACTGCTGTCACTGGAATGACTGAAAATGTAGTTAAAACATTTTGTAATCAAGACTGAGGCCTTTTTCTGCTGGCCATGAAGGAGTTTGGTTGGACAGAAGACACTGGGTCTGTTCTAGCTCCATTTGTAAAACCATTGAAATCAGTGTCAAAAGTAAGTGACTCTGATCAGGCCCCAGATATTATTAATTTCAAGATTCCTATATTCTAGTGATATGATGCAGGAGATCCTCTTTACCCACCTCTCAATCGTAATTGGGTGCATTTCTCTTTGGAGCCTATCTCCACCAACGCCACCAGCCTCAGGGCAGGCAGAAATATCTTTTTATATCTTTCTTCAATTAACTTCCTAAACCCACTACACCAGATCCGGTACTGGTACTTTTAATGGGAAATAATAGGTGACAAGCAAAAAAGCTTAACATTTAAAAATTTGCTTTTAACCTTCCCTAATATATATTTTTGGGGGTAGGCAGACATGGATTTCATAGAATCATAAAATGGTTTGAGTTGCAAGGGACCTCAAAGATCATCCTGTCCCAACCCCCCTGCCATGGGCAGAGACACCTCTCACTAGACCAGGTTGCTCAAGGCTCCATCCAACCTGGTCTTGAACACTGCCAGGGATGGAGCGTCCACAACTTCCTTAGGCAACCTGTTCCAGGGTCTCACCACCCTCAGGATGAAGAACTTCTTCCTTGTATCTAGTCTAAACCTGCCCTCTCTCAGCTTCCAACGATCACCCCTTGTTCTATCACTGCAGGCCCTTGTAAAAAGTCCCTCCCCAGCCTTCTCTTTTCCTGGCCGAACAAGCCCAACTCTCTCAGCCTGTCCTCATAGGAAAAGTGTTCCAACCCTCTGACCATCTTGGTAGCCCTCCTCTGGACTCACTCCAACATGTCTCCATGTCGTTCTTGTGTTGGGGGCTCCACAGCTGGATGCAGTATTCCAGGTAGGGTCTCACGAAGACAGAGTAGAGGGGCAGAATCACCTCCCTCGACCTGCTGGCCACACTTCTTTTGATGTAGCCCAGGATATGGGTGGCTTTCTGGGCTGCAAGCGCACACTCTTGGCTCATATTCATCCTATCATCCACCAGCACTCCCAAGTCTTTCTCCGCAGGGCTGCTCTCAATCCACTCATTCCCAGCCTGTATCTGTGCTTGGGATTGTCTTGACTCGGGTGCAGGACCTTGCACTTGGCCTTGTTGAACTTCATGAGGTTGGCCTGGGCCCACCTCTCAAGCCTGTCCAGGTCCCTCTGGATGGCCTCTCATCCCTCCAGTGTGTCGACTGCACCACACAGCTTGGTGTCATCAGCAAACTTGCTGAGGGTGCACTCAATGCCACTGTCCATGTTGCCGACAAAGATGTTAAATAGCACCAGTCCCACAACAGATCCCTGAGGAACACCGCTTGTCAATGATCTCCACTCAGACATCGAGCCATTGATCGCAACCCTTTGTGTGTGACCTTCCAGCCAATTTCTTATCCACTGAGTAGTCCATCCATCAAATCCATGTCTTTCCAATTTGGAGACCAGGATGTCGTGCTGGACAGTGTTGAAAGCTTTTCTTTTGGTGTTTAGTCCAGCCCTACTTTCTATAGCAGCACTGCTTTCTATAGCAGAAACAATCTTTAAATGCAGACAGGAGCATTAAACAGCCAATGCAAAGCTGTGGATATTCATTAGATGCAGCAGTGGAGGACAGGAATGGGGAACACCACCACATTAGCTGGAGGAACCATGGGACTGATGTGAGCTCAGGGCTGATAATTAGTTGACCAAGAATCAACAGTGCAAAACAGTCCAGGAAAACCAACGTTGTGCTGGGCTGCATTCATAAAAATATGCTATAAAACATTGGCAAGGTAAGTATATCCTTCTGCTTGACACTTCTTGCTTGTAGCCAAGCTGGGCAGTACGAGGAGCCAGTTTTAAAGCTACACCAGGGCAAACCCTGCCTTCAGTTTTAGCCAATGATCCCAGATGGAGCACATGGATAATACTCAGGACCTGACCCCTCAAGGCAGAGTTCAAAGAAAGATGCTCAGATTTTAATTTCTGCATACTGAGGGATGCCTGGATTATTTGTCCACTAAAAGAGCCTGTCACCGTGGGGGGACCACAGCATTACCAGTGTGGAAACCCATCTTTCAAAAGGGGCTGAAAGGACATGACACCGGGTCCTGGCATGATGATGAGGCTTAAGTGAGATATCTGCTTCTGACCTAGTGCAAAGAAGAAAATTACTTTCTCAGAGCTGTCACTAGGGACATTAGGGCTGATTCAGTGTTGATGAAAAGGGCCATGACTTCATTAGTGGATGGGTTGTACAAAGCTACCTCTTTCTGCCAAATTAGAGCAGCATCATGGCTGCAGAGGCCCAGCTGTGCTCACTTGGTCCTCCCATGTCAGGTTTTATGTGAGCTATGTACAAGGAAAACCCCATGTCAAGATCCTGGAGTAAGAGCTCAGACACTCATGGCTCCGTTCAAGCAAACATAACCCTGCACAGGGAGAAGCCTGGTTGCATGAAGTGCTTTTATTTCTCCAGGCAGCCACAGAACTAGCCCATTTCCTACAGATAAACATAATTTTTCCTCAGTGATTATCAAGGAGACTGAGTGAAAAAAAAAAAAGAAGTAAAATAGTTTACAAGCTTTAAATGTTGGTCTGTGTAGTAAATTTGGTCTATACAAGCCTCATAGCAAAGTTGTGTTTTCGTTTTGATTTTGCTAGATGATGTAGTTGGAAAAAGAGAGTCTTGATTGCCAGAGTATTGTTATGTTGGCAAGTAGTAAGTATTAATTGGTTTCAGAGAATCCTGAGGTGAGATCATCTCTCAGTGTGCCAGGCGCTGTACAACCACCTCAAATGGTAACAGTTTTTTCACCCAGTTCTTTCTTCCTTCTTACTACACAAGACCTTTTTTTTTGCCTTCTGTACTGTTGTGAGTTCTGTGTGATGCCATGCACCTACACGCTTGGCAGCATTTGACTGCTTAGACAGAAAAGGACACATTTTCAACAACCTGGGTATCACACAGGCTGGGAGCCTTCAGCAGGTGACATATCCTCCCAATATTTTACAGAAAAAATATTTTTTCTCACACATTTCGATATCAGTGATTCATCTTTTGTGCTACAGATTGGTCTCAAAGCAAGTTTAGTTTATTATTTTCACATGTGGTCTTTAGTAAAATGCTGATGCTATTAATTAATATGTCAGTGAGAATTTTATTATGACGCTAATTGTTAACTCTAAACACCTAGGTGTTGCTGCAGGCAAGAATGAACAGTTAGGTGTTTATGACTCCTGTCTGAGTCATGTTGTACCAACCAATGACTTGTTTATCTTTGAGGAAAAAAGAACTGGCCTGCAGGTAAAAGCAAATGATAGACAGCAACAACTGTGTTCTGAAGCTGAAGCTGATATGCTGGTCTGAACAAGTTATTTGTGTCTGGACATAGTAATCTTCTATGCTGGCATGAATTACAAACCTGCTGTTTGAGTTTTGCTTTATAATATGTAAAACTTTTTTTTTCCAGTTAACTGCCACATGATGATTACTTGCCTTTTGCCACTAACGATCTGAAATACTGCCCCTGTGCTGTCCTATGGGATCTGTTCAGAATTGCTTTCAGCTGACCATCTATGAAGAGCTTCTTGCTCTCCTCTTTATTCCTTAGGATAAACAGACTAATTCATCAAAGAGTCAACACAAATAAACAAACTCTGTGTGAGTTTTCCCCATTTTTTGAGGAAGATGCTTACATAGGAAAGCTCATTGGAACTAAAAATTATTGTATTTATAATAGCTGAACCCACATTCATGTGCCAGTCTAATGTTACCTTCACTGATGAAAGCCAGGTAGCATTTTACATGTCCCAAAAGATGACTACAGATGGTTATTCTAGTTCTGCCAACAGGCAGTGGCTGAACTGATGTGTCTTATCTCTTCCAGTTGCATATGTATGTGAGATATCGCAGTGCTCTGAGGACTGGTATAAGTGAGACAGAGGGCCTGCCATGCATCTCCCTTGGCCTTGTTCCTGTACTGTTCAAGCACATTTTTGGTTATTGCTTCCTGCATCTGGGTTTTGAAACCCCTGCCACAGTCAGAGTGACAGACTTATTTCCTGACCAGAAAGCAGCTGAAGGATCCAGTCTCAGGCAGCTGCAGTGACCCCTGGGAGGACAGCAATGAGTTATGGTAGCTAACAGGAGCCTGTGGCAGGGGCAGCTGGAACAATTTCAAAAAGTCATAGGTTTTGCAGTGAGGGAGTGTGCAAGCTGTAGGTGTCTCTAACTGAGAGAGAGAAATCAACTCCTGGGAAACCTCCTAGGAGTACTGGGTACCCCCTCATCATGATGTACTGCCTCCCCTTCTTTTAAGCACATTACCTCTGTCCTCTGCCTAGACATCCAGCTTTGCTGCTGGGCTTGCAGGAGTGATGGAGAAACAGCATGGTGACTACTCAAACACTCTATTTCTTTTGTAATTTGCTGCCAGAATACAAAGTCACGGACAGATTTCTACAGAAATTCGCAATTCAGAGTACTTCACCAGCATGCCCCCGCTTCCAGCAGAATGCCTCGACATAGATGGGGACTGGAACACACTCCCAGTTATCTTTGAAGATAGGTACATGGATATGCCTTGCAAAGGTGAGTGAAACACCACAAGATACAGCTTCATGAGACAGCTTGAGCTGAGGGAGGTTCACTTCCCCAGCCCAAGGTAAGAGATCTTACATCCTTTGGGCTGAATCTGGCTTGAATCAGTGTGATCCACTGTGTAATATAGCTGAATTCTTCTGTTTTCCCTAGTAGCAAACTAGAGTATTTCCTGTAGCTTCATATTTTTCATCTTCAAAGTAAGCTGTTTAGTTACAAGAGCCAGAGGCAAAATTTAGAAAGAAAAAAATCTTGGATTTTTGTTACAGTACAAATTTAAGGGAAAAACAGCACTGTGAATTTCGTCCCCAGTGTGACATCTAGTGGTAAGAAAACTCAGAACAAAACCCACAATTTGAGCATAAAGCCCAACACTGTTCCTGAAAGGCAGCATTGCTTTCCAAAAAAGTATTTTTCCTTTGAGTACCCAAATAAACTTTTTAATTAAGAAATTATTTAGTTCTGCAGATTTGTAATGAAACCTTGGTTCTCTTTTCTTTTTACTCAACTATTAAGATTAGCAAAGAAGAAACATGTATTAATATTATAGATGATCATAGTAAATATGGCCTGTGGTCCAAAATTTCAACTCTTCCAGAGTTATCCAAATGCCTAAATTTTGACAATGCTCATTATTGATATTTAAACTATTAAACTGAGCGTTAAACTGACTCACAAGCAAGAGCTATACTATGAACAGTGTCGTATGACAGTGGGAATACAAAGAAGTGTCAGTTTTGTTTCCTACCTATGCTGTAAAAACTGGCAGTTTAGATACAATTATACTGAGCAAAGTGTATTTTATTGATATTGTCTTCTTTGGTCTAACTATAACTTTTTAGTGAGTATAAATCTAGGTAAACGCACTCTGTTGTTTGCATTAGTAATAATGCCTCTAATGTATTTATAATTTATATCATATAAATACACATATTTTTTTAGGCCTTACAATCACTTCAAAGTCCCACATCATCTCGGGGTAATTTCTTGTGTTCTTGCAGATACTACTACTTTTTTTCTCTCTTTCTTTCAGATCAGAATTTGGAAGTTTTCCCAGATTTTGAGGTTCCTGCAAATACTCAAATGGATGTAATAGATGACAACGAAGATTTTGCATCAAATGATGCCACTTCAGTAATGAATGGAGACTTTGGGAAAGGTACTCTGCTAATACACACAGACAGGATAAACGGGAAACACTCTTGCATACACAGCATTACTGAAGATGCTGTTTATACAGCTAAGGGTTTAAACGGGCACTCCACATCTCAGGTATGTACAGCGAACAAAGAAGGCCAAAGGAAACCTGCAAATATTTTTGTTTCAAGTAAGGAAACTACTTCTAACTCAGACCCAGGCAATACAGAATGCACATCGGAAGACTTTAAAACACCGGAAGAAATTTTATTAAAAGACAATAGACATGGGGCGGATGTTACCTATGGAGATACGAAACCTAGCAATAAGGATTCCCACAAAAATGAGCCCGTGTTAACTGTCAGTGCTCAGTATGATGTCTTGGAAGACAGGACTGAAATACATAAAGTAGATGAGTCTAGTCATCCCAAGAATAATTTCACTTCGTCTGAGCTTGCACTGGATGAATTAACCAGTCTTCAAAAAACAGGAGATCCAGACACCAAGGCTCTGCTCCCTGTTTTGAAAGCTTTGCCTACACACAGCTTTGAAGTGAAATTGTTCACAAAGGAGCAACGAGGTGAGGAGTGTGAAGAATTTACCCCGATGTCAGGGGTCATAAAAAGATCCTCCTCTATAATATCTGATTCAGGTATTGAAAGCGAACCAAGTTCAGTGGCGTGGTCTGATGCTCGTAGCCGGGCACTGGAGCTGCCCAGCGATCGAGAGATCCTGCACCACTTGGTACGAAGGCATGCCATCCACCGAAATTCCCTGGAGGGTGGCCACACAGAAAGCAATACCAGCTTGCCCAGTGGGATCCAAGCGTCACTCACATCCATCAGCTCTTTGCCCTTTGAGGAAGAGGAGAGGGAAGTGGAGCTTACCAAACTGACAAAATCTGTCTCAGCTCCTCAGATCAGTAGCCCAGAAGAGCCTGCAGAGGAGGTAGATATAGCCAAACACAGTGAAGCAACCTCAGGAGATTCAGGAGGAAACTTAAGAAGTTGCATGGAAACAGAACGTGGAGATGGAAAATTAATCGTGGACTTTTCCAAGTGTCAAATCACCACCGTAAGTGGACAACTAGAACTAAGAGGACGTCCCAAACCCTCCATCAAACACAGTAGCATTAACACTGAGTTACAAGGGGAAGAGGAGAAGGAAGGTTTTCCAGAGACTTACTGTAGTTTGGAAAATGCAAGACCACCCATTTGTCCAAAGCAGCTCCCAGATAATGTCTCTGAGTGCCAGTCACTGGAGAGCAATGGTGAGTGCAGCTTAAAAGCACCAAGGGCTTATAATTACTTGGACAAAAATATACGTGACTTTGATACGTGCATTGAGGAGCCAAAGAATAAACTTAAGCCAGACAGTTTAAAAATACAACAAGGCTTTTACTCCAGTAGCAGAATTTCAGAAGAGGAGAGTTTCTCACAAAGCATAAAGCTGGTACCAGATTTTTGCTATCCTGTTCCAGCTCCTTCAGAGACCTCAACTGAATTTGGCTCAACGCAAGGAGAGTGTGGTAGCTCTCTTGCTGATGAGAGCCCAGCAGTGTATGCAGAAATGCAAGGGTTACAAGAAATTGAGCTTAACGACTCACCTGCCTCAGCAGAGCCTGCTGCAGGATCCTACCGGGCTGAGTATCCTCAGGAAATCGACAGCCAAGAGCATAAACTTGTAGCTAACGGTACCGGGTTTCATTTGGCGACGACGGAGGGAGTAGCCCTGGAAAGCAGAAAGGCTGTTGATGTGGTTAATCTGTCCGTCTCTTGCACAGCCACGTGTCTTCCCTTTTCTTCTGTGCTCAAAGAGACCCCTGCTATGGTCGGCTTCTCTGCAAAGCAGGCTGCGTTCCCCATCACACGCCAGCCTCTGGGCTCTTTCGGAGTTGTCTCTTCTAATTCAAATGAGATGGAAGAAGAGACCAATGAAAGGATGCTGAAGTAAGAATGTCTAATTACTTTTTTGTTAATGTTACTGTAATGCCAAGAAACCCTGACAAAGTTCAGGGCCCTAATACAGTAGGCATACTGTCAGAGACAGTTGCTGCCTGAGGAATTACAGTATAAATAATCCAACTAGACAAATGGTTTATATAGAATAAATAATCTACATAGACAGGAAGGATGAAAACACAGAGAGACCGAGATTTTCAAAGACATTAGGTCCTTAATCCTCGTGAAAAACAGTAGGGTTTAGGTGTCTAAATAATCTTTAAGATCTGGCCTTCCTTTATGAAGACAAGGTTATGCAAACTTGAGTATTGATCCCAGATAGTCGGTTCACTATGGCAGTGCCATAGCTTGTTTTTCTCTTCTGCTTAAATAAATGCACTCATTAGCTAAACTATGAAACAGGAGCACAGATTGGCTGGTAAGGGTCTCAGCTTCAGCTTCTCAAATTGGAAAAATGAGAAAATTGGTATCCTGGGTAGCTGGAGAAAAGGCTTTTTTTTTTTTTTTTTCCTTGCTTCATTGCGCATGGCAAAAGTGCCACATCATGGCCTTTATGCCACAGTGGCCTACTTCACAGACTGACACGCTAGCACATGTTTACTTCCATTATATTTTGGTGTCTCTGCTGTACTGAAGAAAAACAGTAGTAAAGGAATTTCTCAACCCATACAGCTGCCCAAAATATTGGCTCTCTGCATGTGCATTCAGTTGTGACCCAAGGCTTTATTTTTATTTTTTTAAAAGCATCTTGAGGTTCGTTTTATAGACCCTGCTGTAAATCCTGCTTAGTCTAAGCACAAAGGTTGTTCCTTCTTTGTGAAGCAAAATATTTAAGCATGTATTCATGCACATGAATCCAGGGCCTCCAGGTCCGTGGCCCGAAGGCTAGATTTTTCATTCTTGTGTCTCTCTAAAGTCAGCTGGACTGATGTAAGTAATTGCTCATCATTATATCAAGTGGCCTTAAGCTGTCCCCAGCTTTAAAGGTTTACATCTCCTAAACTGGTCCACTGTTTTCTACCTCATTCTATACTTATGTTGTGATTACTAATTCCAAAAAGCTCTGAATAAGTTTTGCTAAGTCAAAAAGCCACTGAAGAGTTTGGCATCTTCAGCCAGCAAAATGCTTCACAGTGAATTCGTGTGTCAAATTTTAGGCTATGACTAGGAAAGGGGCCAGCTTAATTGTTTCAGCACTGAGCAGCTCTTCCTCTTAGCTACTAAATGTTTTCAAACCTGAAACCAAACGAAAACAAAAATATCTACCATGTGAGGTGCATCCTTTAACTCCACAGTCTGGGGAATGGGGAGAACACCTTCTACCTGCTTATAAATGCATCTGATGCTAGCAAAATGATACATTCTGCATTTCAGTATCTGTAAGATTGATGACATTGTTAAGATGCAAAATTGCTAATTCTGTATCTTAGTCCCATTGTTTTCACTAGAAAAACATTTTTTTTTTTGTAAATCTTTCATTCCTCTGGCAGGTGTGATGTGCTAGTAGGCTTTAGCTATTCCCTGTATGTAGCCAAATCACTCAGAAACAGATTTTCTTCCCTGCATCCTGATTTCTCTTAATCAGATTAGATAAGGAATAGTATCCAGGTTTCTACTTGAATGTTGCAACCATAACTTCTTGCAAATACCAGCCTCCTCATTTCTAGTTTGAAGTTGTTGAACACCCAGTTCTATTGTGTTTAATTAATGTATTCTCCAGTTTTTATCAGGCCAAAGAAAAATTTAAAAAAGAACTGAAGATTGAAGGATTTCTGTACAGTGACTTATCTGTACTAGCTTCTGATATCCCATATTTTCCACCAGAGGAAGAGGAGGAAAATGTGGAAGATGGAATTCACCTGGTTGTCTGTGTTCATGGACTGGATGGTAAGGCCAGGAGGAATTGGTGTTTGCAAGTCATTTTGGTGTAAACAAAAAAAAAAAAAAGGGCTGATGTTCAGCAAGTATGAATGAATGGAGAGTCTAAGGGAAGTATTTATCTTAACTAAGTATTTAGTCCTTATTATGTTCTTCAGTCCATTACAGTAAAGGATCTAGGAGAATATTAAATATATGCTCTAAGAAATGGGTGCTGCAACTTTTTTTTTTTTTTTTTGTTTAAACAGAATTCTGCACCAAAGTACATCAGCCCTTCTGTGTACAGGAGGAGTGCATTACAGTAACTCTTCTTGTCTTTCCACAGATGCTTGTTTGTTTTGCAGAATGTCACCAGGATAAAAACGTTATTTAACACACACACACATACACCCAAACACTGTTATAGGGTAGATAGTGGCCAGCTTTAGAAAGTGAGAGAATAAACACCATTATTTACTGAAGAGGAAGCATGGCCAGGAATTTTTTACATATATGCTTTCTGAGCAGAAAACTGATTATGTTAAACTTGAAACTTCTCTTGACAAATTATTGATATCAATGGGAAAGGTGTAGATGTTAACCTTGAAACTACAGAGAAGGAGGGGTAGAGACTCTGAAATCTCAGACATTCTCAGAAGGGTGGAGAACAAACACTTGCTGACTTGAGCAAGGACCGTTTGCCATTCAATATCTCAGTGACCTTCTCACGATGTGGAAGTACTTTCTTTTGCAACAAAACATTTCACAAGACTTTGGAATTACCTGGTATGGAATGGGGCATCTCCAAAAATATTAGGAGCCTGACAGTATTTCAGTACCATCTCTGTGAACACAGAGGCAGGCTACTCTACAGCTGAAGGTACAGACCTATACCCCAGCACAGGTGCCGAGCTCCCTGTCAGGGCTGCAGTGTCCCATGGAAGCCTCACCAGCTGTGAAGGTGGAAGGACAGACCTCATCTCTTTGTCTTTTTGTCTTACCTCTACTGATCAGCAAATGGGGGGACAGAGTTATTCTGGGCCTGATCTTTACCCTTTCTTCCCCATCATTTATGCAGTCCTCAGTAGGAGGAGGTGAGGTCCAGCCTCACTATCTATGGGTATTCTTGCTCTCCTGCTGTTTTAATGCATGATCCTATGTTGAGGTGAGCTGTCTTAGCAGCGCTTAGCAAGAGCTCCCTGGTGCCAAGGTTTATAGGAAGATGAATGTGTTACATTGAATCTATATTAGTTATTTTTCTGTTGAATTACATCTCATAAAGTGCTATTTATTTCTAGGTAACAGTGCAGATCTGCGGCTGGTAAAGACTTTTATAGAACTGGGACTCCCTGGTGGAAAACTGGACTTCCTAATGTCTGAAAGAAATCAGGTAGTACAGAGTTAATTTCTGTCTTCCTTCAGATCTGCTACAAGCTGTTGACATTGTTGAAACAAGACCCTCAGCAAAGCCTTTTCACCATCTGAATGAAGAAAAAGCACTGGGGAATTCTGGGAATTTTATGTAGTATTTAGTGCAAAGGCCTGGTCCTGTTCATGTATAATTTGAGAGGGTGTTCAAACCCATCAGAAAATATTCCTAGCATTGAAGTCAAAGGCAAGACATTAACACATATAGGACTAGAACTTAGAAGAAGAAAATTAATTTGTCCTGTCAGTTTGCAAACTTACAGCCTGGTGCCTCTGCCTGTTGGATGCCAGGCAAAACAGTACCAACAAAAACCAGCAGGTTTAGTGATGCTAAATTCTCCAGAGGATGTGGAATATCCAGAAGGTGTTGCCAGCTTCCTTTGCTGCATCAGCCATTGTTTCTCCTGTTGCAATGTTTGTGAGATTTATTTCCTTGAATGATAAAGAAATGTCTCCCAGAAAAATTCATTGCTAATCTAGGCAGAGAAACAGAAATGAATTCCGTGCTTCGCTCTGCAATGAACCTATATTTATGACATAGAGGCCTAGCTTTATGCACAAGAGAAGTATTTCCAGTGCCCAGTCAGAAACATTATTCTGATTTATGAGCAGCTGAGAAACTTGAGTGAAAGCTTTCCAACCTTCTCTGTGCAACAGCTTTTATATTCTGAAGTGGCCAGTTGGTGTTAGTCTGTGAACTTGCCACCTTCCAGTGCACATCTCTGTCAGCAGCAGACCTGCACAGTGAACATAAGCGAGATGAAAATAATGAGGAGACCACTTCAGATTTGCATCAAAGCCTCTTCTCGTGTTTTCAGAGAATGAAACATCTTACAACATGTCTATTTAACATTATTCAGAGCCCATAATAGGGACTTTTAGTGCTTTTATGGTCTGGGAAGGTGAGGAAGTTCCCATGGCACTGGAAATAGAACCCTTCTGGTTTGATGACTATTTGAATGCTGTAAAATATCATGGCACCCTTTTTTTCCCTGCTTTGAGGAACCACACTGAAAATGACCCAAGAAATCAGTCATTTAGCTGAAGTTTGCCTTATAAAATGCAAATCACTTTGTTAAGGCATTCATTGGTGATACATTTGACAAACTCAGTCAGGCTGAGGTGACACTAAAGGATGGAGGTGAAATATGACGCTTGATGTGTTTTGTTTATGATTAATGTTCAGGCTGATATTCTTCCACTTTTAAACAACCTGAAAGATTTGGGATAATGAGCCTAGGAGGAAATCATTAATTATCCATGCAGACAAAACAAACAGGCAGAAGGTTAGTGGACTGATTGTAGTTTATGAGAACATTTATTTTAAGGCTGTATTGCAAAGTGAATATGCTCATGTTTTCCTTTGCAAGAGCTGCAATTAGCAGGATGAGTTGTGTCACAAAAGCATTAATTACTGATACTTTTGCTCTGAATAGCTGTTCCAACATTTGATTATTGTTTTTGTGGCATCTCATTAGTTACGAATTTGATTTAGAATCCTGTTGGAGATTGCCAAATGACACAGTTCCAAATAAGCTCTGCCTGCAATCGTATAGACTGGACAATATATTATTTGTTTTATTGTATCACAACTGGTGGTACTGTGGCAAGCAACAAATTGTCTCTCTTTAGCACTCATTCTCTTACTGATAACTGTTGAATAACAAACATACACCATTTCATTAAGTTGGCCAAATAATTTTGTGATTGCATCCTTAGCATCAGCATAACCTGCTTGTCAGCGTATAATGCTGTGGACTATTTTATTGTAGTAATCTGTTAAATCCTAAATGCCAAAAGCTTTTCTTCCATGTGCAAAGTATGGTATCTAGAGCAGCTGGGCATTAGCAGTTCTCACCAGTGTCAAGTCAGGCTGCTTTAAGATCATGCTTATGACTCTGGAATCACTCAGCCTAATATTGTTAATCTTACATTAATAAATTGTAGGTCCGGGTTTATCCTATCATGACACATGCCAAAGTTAGAGGCACAGTCGGTAGAGAAAGAGAAGCAACCACAGGAGGTAATTTAATCCCCTTAAAATATGAATTGTCTTCTGGACGGCCCTATTTCCATGCCCTACAAACTGTAGAGTTACTCTAGTCCTAACTTTAATTCTCAGGTTGTGTTCTTGAAACTAAAAGACACAATATAGAGTCAAAAAAGCTTTATGACAGAAAATTTTGCCTTAACCTACGAGCTCCCTAAGGATAGTGAATTCTCACATGGGCTTTAATGATAGGTATGTGACCCACACTGCCCCATGGTATTGTTACTATTGATTCTACGTGAGAAAGAAAATACTTGTCTTGAGTAAGTTTGCAATATTAGTTGGAAGCTATTTGCTATGAAACTGAAGGTGAAACTTCATAACTGTTTTAAAGGAGAACTTAAATTTTTAGAGGACCTGGAGAATGAGAAAATCCCCCCCCCTCCCCCCTTGAGCATGTATAGAGAAAATCTGGACTGGTTGTTACGTTTCTGCTTGAATTTTACTTTGAAAATAACATCAGTCTGAAATAAGTGCGATATATTTTAATTCACTGGCTCATTCCATTTTTCACCAGACTGATACTTTTGCTGATTTTGATACAATGACTGACCGTTTATTGGATGAAATTATTCAGCATATCCAGTTGTACAACCTCTCCATATCCCGAATAAGGTAAGTGTTCTGATAGTTAATAGTCTGTAACTGTTTGAGTTACATGAGCAACATTCAGTGAAATTAGCTTTTCCAAAAGTGCCCTGTGTCAGAAGCCATTGAATCAGTGAGATGAATTTTTACATTGTTGTAGATGGAAGAGTATACTAGGCTGAAAAATATGTGAACTGATAACTAAAGTATGTTACTGAAAGCCCTGATAGAGTCCCCTCAATAGGAATTTATGCCACTCTGATGTTTAATTTAAATAAAATACGGATGGGTTTTGTGTTAGTGTAATTCTTTCTTTCCCAACAGTTTCATTGGACATTCCCTTGGTAACGTCATCATTCGATCTGTACTAACTCGTCCCAGGTTTCGCTATTACCTCAACAAGCTACACACCTTCTTGTCCCTCTCTGGGCCTCATCTGGGAACCCTTTACAACAACAGTACTTTGGTTAGTACAGGTAAGAGCTGACAGGAAAGCTATGGCTGGCTGCAGACCGTGGCAGAGTGCATGAGAGAGCAACACATGGAGGTAGCAAAAAATCGTAACATGACTTGAACACTGAAGTTGTGGAACATATTTGCTGAAGACTTCAAACTCACACAGAAAAAATTGCAATGAGAGGGGCTTTCAGTATCTACTACAAGGTCCAGCAAAGTGCTTCCTGGAAGATCCAAGGGTGTGCAGCAGTGACAGATGACCTTGCTTCCAATGTATTCTTCCACTTCTCTGTATACTGCCAATAAAAAGAGACATCTGCAAGGCTGAAGAAGACTCTCACAGCCCTATGGGAATGGAATGTTCCACATTTCAGCCTTCCTGAGTGTTTGTGCTGCTGTGACATGGATAATCATAGGACTGTGGAATAGGTTGGGTTGGAAGGGGCCTCTAAAGGTCATATAGTCCAACCCCCATGCAATAAGCAGGGACATCTTCAACTAGATCAGGTTGCTCAGAGCCCCGTCCAACCTGACCTTGAATATTTCCTGGGATGGGGAATCTACCACCTCTCTGGGCAACATGTTCCAGTGTCTCACCACCCTCATCATAAAAAATTTCTTCCTTATATCTAGGCTATGTCTACCCTCTTTTAGTTTAAAACCATTACCCCCATCCAGCGATACCCTTAGGCTTTTCTCCCTGTTGATTCGCAATACAGGAGGAAACAAAGACTTATATTGAATTACAATGCTACCCTTACTGTAGGCACATGTCTTTAATCCCCTTGGTTGATAATTAGCAAGCAGGATAAGCATATGCACCAATTTTCATTCCAGGTCTATGGCTCATGCAGAAGTTGAAAAAGTCAGGGTCACTTTTGCAACTGACCTTCAGGGACAATGCAGATCTGCGCAAGTGTTTCCTCTATCAGCTCAGCCAAAAAACGGGTGAGTAGGGCTTCATGTGGCTGTGAAAATATCAAGGGCTATTCTAAAGGATTGTGCTGGATTGCTGTGTTCTCAGGGAGTAAAGGAAATCTGTATTTTGTTAATGATCTTCCTTGATTTTGAGAAGGGCTGCTCTGTTTAAAATCTAATACCTATTTTCTCTGTGCATTTTTTCTGTGCCGGTTATCAGTGAATATATTTGCTGAACTGTTAGCACCAAATAAGACCTCCATGCTGTAGTAAACATGCACCTAAGTTTATATTCTGCAAGCAAGAAATATCATTCTTGACAGGCCACTATTGCTTAATTCATACTACTAGATGAAAAACATTTTTCCTTTTTTATTATTTTCTTAAAGTTTAACATCTCTTGTCTCTAGGAAAAATGACTATGTGAGATGAAGAGCAAATTTTGTTCATGTCTGTTGTGACACCTTTATACTACAGAGAATGATGTATGGCCTCACACTGGAAAAATGATGTCTAAATAGAAATCTTTTTACCCCTTCCTTGGTCTGTCATGAATAAATGAAATAAATCAGACTTTTCTTCAGAAAATAAAGCAAGCATGATCCTTCTGTTCAAGAAAATGTTTTCTTTCAAGAGTTATTTTTAATATTGTGTGTGAGCAAACTGGTGCTAAGTATGCAGTCACAAGGTCATTACTTGATACTTAATTTTTTTCTCATAATTTGGTACATTGCTAATAGGAAAAAAAGACTATGTGAAGATGAATATAACTTCTTAATTCTTAGTCTGACAGCCATAGAGCTGTTTCATAATTTTGTGGAAACACTACATGACATAATCAACGGTGGGAAGCTCCTGTGTTGTGCCATTATTTGAATTTTCCCTTTGATTCCCTGACTCTCATTTCTGTGGAGTTGATGTCTGCTTTACTACTGTCATGTTCAAATAAAATTTGGTCTACACAGGAAGCTCACAGCTAACTTCCCAAGCAAAGAATTCCCAAGCGTGTATTATGAGTCAAAGCGATTCATTGTTAGCTTGGTAGACTGGAGATCTAACAGGCTGTGAAGTGAAGGTGGTATCCCTGCAAAAGCAGAAAGCAGAAATTCAAATGTGAAGAGGATTGTCTGTAAAGTCAGAATCATCCAGAGAGATGCTTAGGCAGAAAATATGAAGAAGTAGGTAGTCCAGATGTGAACATACGAGCTGGCATACTGAGTCAAAATAGAGATGCCCCTACTCTAGCACCCCATTCCCAAGAGTAGTTGAGGGAACCTGAGAAATATCAGAAGCAGTGTTGTGCCTACTTTCACAGATAAATTTTTAAGCTTCCAGCAGTTTCTGACTTTCTTCTTAAATTATAAGTCCCTGCTACTTTTCAGTCTCTTTAAATGTTCCTTGTGCTTATTCCCTGTTGAACCTCTTCACATAAGATTTTAGATATGGTAACACTCACTCTTGCTTCTCCTACCTTTTACCTCAGACTGAGATCACTAACGCAATTGGTTTGATTGTACAAGAAGAAAATGATAGACAGCTTCAGCCCGGCCTTAGTAAAGGCAGCCAGCAGGGCTCTTATTTGTGGTGGTGATGGTCAACTTCTCTGTGAAAATATAGAAATCAACAGCTTGGTTCTGGGTCCCTTTCCCATAAAAGATAGAGGAGGGTGAAGGTCAAACCCTTAGCTCTTCTGTGCTCAGGATACTCTCTGTGTGCATTTTCCTACTTTTCTGCTAATTGTGGGTGATGGAGGGCTCAAGAGACCACAGACAGGGCCAACAGCGGGCGCCTGTTTCCACAGTGGCCCTGTTGCCTCTAGGAAAGAGGGAGATTCCTGGTTTCCAGCCCGTGTACCAGCAGCGTGCATTTATCAAGGGCCTGCTGAGTGCAGGGATAGGATCCCAAGGCTCCTTCAACCTGATGTAATAGTATGACATTATAGCAGTGAAGTTGGTTTCTCTTCTCCTCCCTCTCTTTTTGTTGAAAATTGAACTAATGTGTTATTTTTGACTGTGATCCTCATTCCTGTGAACACTTATTTATCCAAAACCACTCACTGACCATAGTGGGGCTGTACATGTGTTTCCAATGTTTAGAGGCATAAATATTTGCAAGATTAAGGTTTTAGTCAAACACTTTTTTCCAGAGACAGTTCTTAACTTGTATAAGAGTTAATAAGTAACAAATAGTGTGCAGAAGCAGCAGAAATGGGTTTAAGCTATTATGAATCTTTCTAAACTTGTGTTGCATGTTTTAATTATTATAAACTATTTTGGTCTGTAGATTTTCAAACATGTTTGAACATGAAATAGTCATGCTGACACTGTATGTGCTTTCGTCACCGTGCATCATTGTGATAAATATATTTAATGCATTTGCCACAGGTCTTCAGTACTTTAAAAATGTTGTGTTAGTGGCCTCACCCCAAGACAGATATGTACCCTTTCATTCAGCAAGAATAGAAATGTGCAAAAATGCACTTAAGGACAGACACACAGGTATGTTTAAGATCCTTTCTGTATTTTCAAAGCTGTTGAGAAATTGTGTTTTTGTGTAACTGAGGTCATTGCATTAGAAAGTTTTTTCATCAGCATGATGAAAACTCAGATGTTTATTTGATAAGGAATAAAGAAAAAATTCCCACAGGAAATTACTGAAATCGATAAAAGAAGCTTTTTAAGAAGCTCTTTGTGTGATGAAAACAAATTTCAATCAGGTCTTAATCAAAGGTTTCTTACTGCTTCTTCCTCTTCCCTCTAATTTATTTCTTTAAAAGTGATGATAATAGAACTAGCTCTTGGCAATGTTTTTTCTGTAATCTACTGATTTAGTAGTATTGTCTTACCTTTGTTTCACATAATGAAATCTCTGTCAGCACATCCAAAGTTAGGGGGTTTTCCCTTTGTTTTCAATAGTGTTTGGATGATTGCCATGTAATTTAAGGGACAGATCTGAAATCATTTTGGTTTGTAATAAAATGTGTAAAGCACATCAGGACTCATGCCATCAGAGGCCTAGCCCTCCTGTGAGCTCAGGCTGTCTGTTGTCCCAAGTACTGCCTTTTTTGTTAGCAGTCTTCCTCATTTATAAAATATTCCATGGCTTCAGTTTGAGAGCACTTCCAGAAAAAATGTTCGGTGTAATTTCATACCTGTTTCACATATGTGATAACCTTGAAATGGAGGTACCCTTTGGAAGTAGAAAGAGACACCCAGGCCCAATAATCAACATGGTTGCCTTCATGTATCTTACCTAAATTACAGCTCTTTCTATCCTACCTCAGATATGAATTAAAAGGTAATTTTCTAACTCTCTTTTCCAGTGGTTGTTTCTCAGGGAGTTGTTTGGCCTAGGAGGAACTAGATCTACATTCATGTAGATCGTTTATGAGTACAAGTTTCCCGAGCCATTGTTTTTGCCCCATAAACTCCTCAACTGCATGATGTCCTTCCTCCATTAGATTCCCCACAGAAACCCAAATGGTCCTCTATGTCTTGCCAGACCCTTTGGCTTTTGAATTCACAGGCAGCATGAGTCCAGCCCTCTTCTCCTGAAGGAAACAATGGCATTTCCTTCCAGCGTAGAGGAAATGAGCTTGAATGCTGAGGAGTGTCCCACTCTTCATGCTAGCAGCTTCAGCAGAGCGCTTCAGAGGGCCACTGCCTCCACTAGATTGACAGCATCCTGGCACTTGGCAAATCTTTGAAAGGGACTGCTATCTCCTGCATTTTGGCATTACTTCTATTTTCCTTCTCAATGTGGCTGTAATTAAACGATACTGGAAGGAAAGAGGGGATCTGGCAGCTTTGGCATGTAGGTGTGACATCTAAACTCTTTTGCAGGTCCTGTTTATGCAGAAATGATTAACAACCTGCTCCAGCCTTTGATTGGGGCGAAGGATTGCACTTTGATCAGACACAACGTGTTCCATGCTCTGCCAAACACCGCCAACACATTGATAGGCCGGGCTGCCCACATTGCTGTGCTGGACTCTGAACTTTTCCTGGAGAAGTTTTTCCTTGTGGCAGGACTCAACTACTTCAAATAGTGCCTGAAGTACAGGGTAACAGAGGCAAACCTTTTCATTGAGTGGAGGAGAATCCCTTAGCCAAAAGCGTGCGGTGTAAGCAATGAGATCAGGTGGGACTTTCAAACTCTGCATTTCCATTTCTGTTTCAGAGAATAAAGTGCTATGGCTTTAAGGCATTCAAGCTTCCAAATATTGGTGCTTTTGGAAGAAATAAATATTCCTCTTCAGTTTCTATGTTCTTTGTCCACATAAAGACATCATCCACTTTCGAAGTACAGAGTGAAAATAAGAAGGCTAATTCTTTAAAAATGATTGGACCAAAAGATTCCCATTTCTCCTGAATATTAACCCAGGAATTTGGCTGTCCTTGAATTAATGCTTATTTACGTATTAACAAAACTATATATTTGTAGCACTTTTGGGGTGGTTAATGCAAAAGGAAACAAGCATATATGAACTCAGGTTAAACCTCCTTTGTGATGAACTGAGAAGTATGAAAAACATTTATGAAAATTTAAATGTTTCCATTTGTTGAAAGAAAATATTTGGATGGTTCCATTACTGGTAATAATTTGTGTTATATGTGCATTGAAATAATGGAAAGGAGTGAAATATTTAACACAGAATGAAGACATCTTGATATTTGTCTTTAAAAAAAAAAAAAACAACTTTAAATTTGGAAGATTTTTGTTCAACTTAGAAGCTGCCAAACTAAGAGGATTCTGTTGGATTACTTGTAAAATATCAGTGGCATCTGCTAATATTTCTTCTGTTTACATTTATAGAGGATCATTATTGTGCTTGTTATAACCTCAGAGGTACAATTTTTACTTTTACATTTGTATTGAAGTACATTTACCCCAACAAATTTTTATTTTTTTAAAATTTATTACTCTGATATGAAATTCAAAATCTAGCCAGTAATATCCCTAAAAAACCAATCAGAAGAAAATAAACTGGAGACATAGAGTGGTAAAGATTGTGGAAAGTAAAAAATATAAAGGATGTCGTCTTTGGCTCCTCTGCAATGCTCTGTTAATGCTTTACTAATGCCCATTTGCAGTGCTATATACAGTCCGAATTATTATATGGTTACAGCTGCTTGAAACATTTAAAAGTTTATTCATACAAAAATATCCAAGTTGCTTTAAGGGTTTGGAAAATAATCCTTTTTTCACTTTTTTTTTTTTTTCAATTTTTCATTAAAACTTCTATCAAAAAGCTATCAGATTTAAAGTGACAACTTTCAATAACTTTCTATACATTTTCGTAATATTTTGATAAATTTTCAATGTCTCAGCAGTTTTTTCAAAAAAGATAAAATAAATAATTCTTCACAATTACTTTTGTTTGGAGGGCAGGCAATTTTTTAATGCAAATATAATTTGTTTAAAAACATAAGTGTATCTATATCTTGTGACAAACACTATGAAAAAGTGATAAAGTTGGTTTCAGGTGTCAAGACTCTCATAAATAAATTAAGATCAAGATATTGGAGATTTCTAAAACAGAGAGTTAAAAAATGAAAACAAAAAACCTCACCACCACAGGGGAATATTTGTACACGCAAAAAGTGAAACTAGTTGTTTTCAGAGGAAGAAAAGTGGAAAACTTACACAGAATTAATTTTAGAAAAGAGTTGCTAGCATACTGGTAAAGGCTGCTAAAGAACAAGGCTAGCTTGGTAATGTAGGCATGTTTTTAAAATACGATGGAGAAAGAAGGAATATACAAAAGGATGAGATTAAGTAATCACCTGAAAATAGGAAGGTATATTGCACCTAAAAATCATCTGCCCCTCAAAGGGGCAGAAATTATATAGAAACAGCTACATGGTTTGTTTCAATATTGACATGTTTTTTAAATATTAAATATTACCTCAGTACTTGAATTAAATAGGTAGATACTGTTTTCTCTTTTTTTTCCCTTTTATAAATTGACAGTTTAAAGCTAAAAGACGGATTTACCCAGTTAACAAATATATTCTGTCAGGAACCAAGAACTTCTGGTTCCCACTTCTTGTTTGGGAAGTCATTATCACCTTTTGGCTCCAAAATTTTGGTGCCAGACACACTTACATATCACAGCTTACTTCTTCCTTGATAAATTGTTTACAGAATTTCAAATAGAATCACCGAATCACAGAACCTTAGGGGTTGGAAGGGACCTCGAAAGATCATCTAGTTGAACCCCCCTGCCAGAGCAGGACCACCTAGAGTAGATCACACAGGAACGCATCCAGGAGAGTTTTGAATGTCTCCAGAGAAGGAGACTCCACACCCTCTCTGGGCAGCCTGTTCCAGTGCTCTGCCACCCTCACAGTGAAAAAGATTTTCCTTATAATGGGCATGTAAGTTAAGCTGTTATACAGTTCAGTGGTTTTGAGCCACATGCATGGACTTCTAAGGAGTATGTGAAAAACAAGAAAGAAAAGCGATCTCCAACCGTCAGCAAGCTTCTGTGTGCTGTATGAGGGTCAGCTCCTCTTTTAGGACACGTTCAGGAGTCTGCTGACAGAAAATTTTGAAAAACATTGAGAGGTTAGTTTGCACATACATACATGCCTAATGTATGTATGTGTATATACGTATACAGTCTGTACGAATGTGTTTATTTCACTGTCCCACACACTTACTTTCTCAATCCTGTCTATACAGTCTGACAACATACCAGTGTAGCTGTTCTTACATTCAGATTGGTGGCTTCTTGCCTTGTCTTGTACATCAGACAGCATTCCCAGCCTTCTGTTTGCGTGATTGGGAGAGAAGGGAAATGTGAAATGGTCTCTTTTGTATTGCTGCAGAAGTTGGTGGGCCTTTCAGTGTGTTCATTTTGGCATTCTATACTGCTTCCAGTGCTCTGATGGATAAACATACCTAAAGGTTTCCAGGTTCCTGCACATATAATAACACTTCCATGGCTTAGAGTCTGATTTCAGAATTGGAGTTGAATTGTACATGGAGCTGGATTAGCTCCATACAACTTGCTCCTTGTGGGGTATGGCAGAGAGCTTCTATGGCTCTTCAGAAAAATCTGGGAGATGTCACTCCTGTGAAATGACAGGACACAGATTTTATCTTCCTTATGCTGGCAGAACATTGTGGGAAATACTGGCAGTAACAGTCTAGCTGAGCATTCATTTTAAGGTTCTCAGAATAGCTTCCCCCTCATTTTCTTCTTTTATTCTTTTTAATGGGATGTTGCCTTGATAATGACTCTCAATATTGTAAATTCACTCTAATCATGTAGACTATATTGCAAAGAAATCTTCACCATCATTATAATATAAATATCATTCAAGTGGTTGGACTTCAAACTATAGCAATCAACATGGACTTATTTTCATTTTTTTTTTTGTTTTACATATAAAGAAATATATATGAAGAATTACCTTAATAACAAATAGCAAAATAACTGCACAGTTAGCATCCTCATTTCTTTCTTGACCTTTGGAATTTTAATGCATTATCCTTTCACATAGAGCCTTTTAAAATACATTTAAGTATGTCAGAAGTATTGCTACAAGGATTTCCCTTAAAACTGCACAAGCTCCTCTTGGCTTGCTGTATCTATGGGGACAGTGCTTAAATTCTTAACTGAAGCTCTCCTATTCACAGAGGATAAGACAGTTTTTCAAGAACTTGGACAGAGGAGGGACAACCATGAAATTTGTGCGGCTTGTCAATGCCCAGAGCCATCTCTAGGCTTAATGTTAGCTGTAGTTGAAGTGGAACTCTTCTCACTTCTGTGGGATTCTTTAGTTAAGAAAAAAAAACAAAGCCAGCAATGCAGGGTTGTTTCTTTAGCATCTAGAAGTCTTACAACCAGCATGGAGGACTTCCTGGCTCAAACAGGTAAAGTGCATTTGGCTATTGAGGTTTCCCAGTTTTAAAGATGAATTATGGGCTATAGCCCAGATGAGTAACTTCTCTGAAGGAAATGTAATAGGCCACATGTAGGAAAAGAGCAGCAAAGACAGAGGATCTCAGGGCTTTGAAAGACAGGAGCAAAGACTAGGGCAAGGAAAGAAGATAGGAAGGTGCACCAGCAAGGGTGAATTTCATAGAATCATGGAATCATTTATGTTGAAGGGACCTTTAAAGATCACTTAGTCAAAACCCCCTGCCGTGATCAACCATCACTTTGCTCAAAGCCCCATCCAACCTGACCCTGAGCACTTCCAATTATGAGGCATCCACAACTTCTTTGGGCAATCTTTGTTCCAGTGTCTCATCGCCCTTATTGTAAAAAAATTCTTTACAAGAACTGAAAAACTCAACACAGAGAAGTATCATCTCACTTAACTTTAGGCAATTGTGGTGTAGATGTCTGTTTATGGCCTAATAGGCAAAGTTGAACTCCTTTTATGATCAGTGGAAGGAAAGATGGACTTTTAGGGTGTTTTATCAGACATATTTTACTTTTCTGGTCCAACTTTCTCTAGGCCTATTCTTTTCCATATCTGTGCAGGATATTAGATTTAGCTGTCTACTTACTTGACCCCTATACTTGATCAGATGAATCCCACACAGTGCTAGAACTCTTCTGGGAGGCTATCCCTACCCCAAAGGCCCAAAGAAGGGATATTGTGCTTTGAAATAGTACCTGGCCCTTGAAGCCATTTCCTTTTCAGTGACAGTTACCTAGCTTGGAATGGCACAGTAATTCTGGAAGAAAGAAGAGCAAAAACTGGTTAACCAGTTTTATTGACAAATTCACAGGACATGGTGAAAAGACACAAAGATGCTTTGCCTTGCTTTCAATCTCTATTTCACCCTTAAATAAAAATTTTACATAAGCAGTCTATAGCATTTAAAAGGATTTGCATTAACTATTTTGAAAAATTTGAAGCATTTGAAAACAGGGCGGTTATAACAATTCAGTGGATATTATGCCTTTATTAATAGCTGGATGAATTTTTTCCACTATTTTGTGGCTCCTAGAACACATTGAGCTCCACTTTTGAAGAATTTAATCTCTTCTGAAATTAAAGATATGTTTCCTGAATCTTGATGGAA